TGAACACGCTAACCCACCGTGGATGCGGCATGGTCCACCAGACACGACACCCTTCGGGTAGTCCCACACGGGCCAGTTTGAGAACAGGCATAAACGGCAGGATTTATTGAGATCAATAAATTTTGCGACAGCTTCTCAGCTGCATCTTGTCGCTGCATTAGGAAGATAACGCGGAGTCATGGAACAGTTGGGAATTTCACAGAATTAATGGCATAGCGGCAAGGAACGTGGGTTAGTTTAAAAAATAGTCGATAAAGGACATTGCAATAGAGGAGAATATCCGAGTTCCCGGAAGCAATTCCGAAGAAGAAGAAGCAATCACTCTTGTTCCAGTGATCGGTTCTTCTTCTTCGGAAAGGACATTGCGTTAAGCCAACGCATTGAAAGTAGTGGGTGAGGGAATTTAACGAAAAACACTTGAGAATTAAAGTAAACGACCAATTACTTGGGTAATTGGAGGTTGACCACATTGTCAAGCTGCTTGCATAGGTTTGGTTTCTCCCACCGTATATAGACAGCTTCCAAGTATCTTGGTAATAAAGGACCGTGGTATTCTGTCTTCTTGCTTGAAAAGTCAGTTGGGCAAGTGCTCAGCGGCCTCGACTGCCAGTTGCCTTTGCTGCTGAGCTGTTTCTTACTGGCCTTTCCAGCAAGAATACAGAATACCACGGTCCTCTATTGCCAAGCATCTATTAAACAGCGATCATTCTGTAGACGTCAAAACAGCGTTTTGAGTACTTGTTCGGGCCCGAATAAACCGAATCCTGCGCTACATGGAAGCTGCCTACATACGGTGGGAGAAACCAAACCTATGCAAGCAGCTTGACAATGTGGTCAACCTCCAATTACCCAAGTAATTGGTCATTTACTTTAATTCTCAAGTGTTTTTTGTTAACTTCCCTCACCCACTACTTTCAATACGTTGGCTTAACGCAATGTCCTTTATCGACTATTTTTTAAACTAACCCACGTTCCTTGCTGTTATGCCATTAATTCTGTGAAATTCCCAACTGTTCCATGTCTCCTTGTTATCTTCCTAATGCAGCAACAAGATGCAACTGAGAACCTGTCGCGAAATTTATTGATATCAATAAATCCTGCCGTTTATGCCTGCTTTTAATTTGTACAGGGTAACAAATGCTTTAAAGTTGGAGAACACTTGGATCTGATTCACAAACCTGCTAAAGCAGCTGACACCACTGTGTTACTCTCTCGAAGGCATGACTGGTCGTAGCCAACACCAACCCAGACTCTGGCGGTGGTAAGCACTGCTGTTGTCTCAGACAGCAACTCAGGATCATGAATTGAGGCAAATTTTCGCATTCCAGGAACGTGTATATTTTGATAAGAAGTCTTATCGAACACCGGAATCATTATTTTATTGGTCTGAGCTTTCGGGCTCCTGCACAGTTGGCGGCCAAACCGCACAATTACTGATTTCCTACACGTTCAAACTTTAGTTGTTTTGTACACACGCCGCAACCAGCCACCTCATTTGTTGCTGTTTTGC